TGTTGCTATAACAAAAATTTAAAAAACGATGATGGTAATCAGAACTATTATGCTCAAAAATGCTTCAAAATATTTTAAAAGGTTTGAAATAACTTATTCAAAAAACTAAAACTTTAATAATCGCTTTTGTATCAACTAAGCTATTTTTTTTGTTTGAAAACTAATTTTATTGGTTAAGTTTTGTCTGAGCATTATAAGAAAGACATAACTACTTTCTTGTTTCTGCATTTATCAATCAATATGTATTGCTTTTGGTCAAAATGTCAGACATTTGGAAACACTACACATTAAACAAAGGAAAAGCAGCAACTGGAAAAAGTGGAAAATATGTGGAAATACCAGTAAATACTCAAGTTCCACAACTGGAATGTGGTATCACCTAAAAAAAAAATGGAATTAAAAAAGGAAACACAGGAAAAGCTGACAACAAAAGCTGCAACAGAATCAAAAAAGCCTAAGATTTCAACTTTTTTCCCTAAGTAACCAATTAAAGAAGTGGTTTCAAGACTAACAGCACTGGATGGATTTAGTTTCCATGCCTTTGTTAACAGTTCTTTCTTTCGATCTGCCATGTGTGAAAAAGGCTATGATTTTCCAAAAAATCACAAGCAAGCAACCCAATCAGTTAAAAAGTTTGCAGCTGGCGTACTTCTAAAAATATGGATTCATCCCATCTTTGAAAGTATTTTAAAGCCTCTATATTAGAAATAGTTATAGAGTTTAAAGATAGGTCTATGCAAGTATGCCATCCTGCAGACCTCTTTCTAGATTCTGAATAGTTTATTTTTGAAGCAAGAAGTAAGGATGAAAGTTTAATTTTTGCTTGAAAATTATTTGCTTCAAAAATTAATTCTGAATAAGTAATTTTTGAAGCAAAAAGTAAGGATGAAACTTTAATGCCTCTAACAAACAACAGCAAAATTTTAGTAAGAGTGCTAGATAGTCTTCAGTTGAACATAAATAACTTCTTAAATAACTGTATTTTTATCATGATATGGCATTGATGTTAGACTAGAGACTTGTATTTGTTGAACTCTTCTTATATGGCTAGTAGTATTGATCTTGTACTAGAGTTACAAGTACATGTTAAAAGTATTTTGAGGCGAGGTACTCTGCTACACTATCTTAAAATAGAGACTTGAATCTTCTGCACTATTCGTCAGAAAGACAAATCATCTTTAGCAACCACTTGCATACTTCTTATCAGAACTCTAAAATTTTATTTAAGCAACCAGAAGCTAACTGCTGTCTCGTAAACAACAAAGAATTGCTATGAGATGATTGTGTTAGCCACTCTTACAAGCATAAGCACATTAACATCTAATGGATGAAAATTAGGGAATTAGAATGTGTTTTTCCATGTTGGACTCGTCTTACTGACAAGTCCAAGACCTTCTAAGTTTTTTAAAATGACCTAAAAGAGTATAGGTGTTTCTATATACTATTTACTATTTCCATATAATTTCAAAACACAGACTGAGAAGGTTTTAAGTTTGCATATGATTTATGAAAAAAATTTCATAGTGAATAAAAATTGTAAAAACTTACATTAACATAAAATATTTTCTTCCTTAAATTTTATTTGGTATGTTTAAATCAATTTTAAAAATGGTTCAACTTATTAAAATATATTATTTAAACATAATATTAAAATCTCTTGTCAAACTTTTTTCATTTTATTAATGTGTTGTTTCCTCTAAGAATGTACCTGATGAACAATATAATGGGTAAATGGAAAATGTTTTGCCAAGAATAAATAATCCTTTAAGAATAGAAAGTATTTAAAAGATACCATGCTGTCAAAATAAATATGGGAATTGAAAGATAAAAATATTATTAATTTTATAATGAATTGATCCATCCTTAAAACATATAACATTATTTCCAAAATATGCATATTAGGCCTGCAAGATAAACTTGAAATAATTACACATGCGAACCAAGAATGTTTATTCTGGTTATATTCTATTCTTAATGTATAAATCTGAATTGATTTCTTATTTCAGGCAGGGTAAAAAAGTTTCTCCTAAAAAACTATAAAAACAAGTGAGCTCAGAAAATAATTACATTAAACCCCCTGTTTAAAAATATGTATTAAAAAAAAAAAGCATAAGTATACAATTCTAAAGAATTCTTTTTATAATAGTGCATATTCATACTTTGCATATTCCACAAATGTGTAAAAACTTACAGTAGCTAAGAAATTTATGACTGTAATTTAATTTTTAGTATAAATTGAAGTTTTATCAATTTAAACATTCATTTCTAATGAGTCTTAATTGATGAAACACAGCATAAAATGAAAAAAGTTCGACAAGAGATTATCTATTGCTCTGTCCATTTTAGAACTTTAGCTCTCACTGTTTTGTAGAATACATTTTAAAATATATATATATATATATATATATATATATATATATATATATATATATATATATATATATATATATATATATATATATAAACATATATAAACATATAAATATATATAAAACCTTAC